ACACCGACCAGCAATGTAACAGAGATATTCACACTGACCAGCAATTTAATTGAGGTATTCTCACTGACTGCCAATGTAATGGGGATTATATACACTGACCAGCAATGTAATTGAGGTATTCCCACTGACTGCCAATGTAATGGGGATTACAGGTGAAAGTCGAATAATTAGAATATAGTGCAAAGTTCATTTATTTCACTAATGCAACTTAAAAGGTGAAACTAATATATGAGATAGACTCATTACATGCAAAGCAAGATAGTTCAAGCCGTGAATTGTCATAATTGTGATGATTATGGCTTACAGCTCATGAAAACCCCAAATCCACAACCTCAAAAAAGTAGATTATTACATGCAATCAATAAAACAAGGATTGTACATAGAACAATATCGGACCTCTGAAAAGTACAAGCATGCATATGTACTCAGTACTTGGTTTGGGCCTCTTTTGCAGAACTTACTGCAATTACTTTTGCACGATATTCTAATTATTCGAGTTTCACCTGTATATACACTGACCAGCAATGTAACAGATATTCACACTGACCAGCAATGTAAAGGAGGTATATACACTGACCAGCAATGTAAAGGAGGTATTTACACTGACCAGCAACTACCTTCAAATGATTGAGGTTTCTGAATTGGCGTAGATGCTGTATTTGTATTCTTGAAAGTAAATATATATATCAGTCGAGGCTATTTTCAGTGGGGGGCCAGTAGCCCTTGTTCTAATTTGGTTGCCTCTGTCTACCTGACATCTTGTGTCCGGGTTTCAGCTGTTATGAAACCCGGACACAACACTCAAAACCTGGACTGTCCGGGTGAATCACGGACAGGTGGCAACCCTAAGAGGAGGCTGTGGGCCCTGGTCTTGGAGCCAGGGAAGTGGACGTCAGGTAAGTAAAAGTGCTTTACACAACACCCCTAGACTTTAGTGGGCAACTCCAGCCTTCCAGCTGTGCTTTAACTACAAATCCCATTATGTTTCTGCCTTTGAGAGTCATGCCTGTATCTGTCAGTCAATGCCTCATGGGACTTGTAGTTGCACACGAGCTGGAGGGCCAGAGCTGCCCACCCTTGCCTTATACAAAAAATGTGCAGTTAACCCTTGCAGTGCAGGGGGAAGCCCCACAGCAAAGAAAGTTTTTTTTTTTTTTTAACTAGAGGTAGACTTTAAAGAACCCCACAGCAACCAATAAAAACCTACCTTACTGAACAGGACTTTTTTTTGCCAGAGCTTACAGTGTACAGATACGTGAGCGGGATAAAATAAAGGCAACACCTTTTATTCCTACCACATCAGTGTCACTCCACATAACACTTTTCAATCCAGTTTCGTTTAGAGGAGCGACATATTCCTGTCTACCATTTTGGAGACACCTAATTAAAGCATCGCTTTCCTCTAGCGTCTGCCCAGCCTGTCATATGAATCACTGGGGGAAAGGGCTTAGGACCGCAGCCTATCAGCGCCCTTTGTGTATACTGAGTTGGGCGGAGCAAACTAAGAACTGCTCAGCCATTGGCTGGCCGAACTTAAGCGACGTGATGCGTGACTTAGGAGGGTGTGCTGTCTTGGCACAGGTGTTTGCCAGCACTGTGCAGTGTAGCACTTCCGGTGAATGCTGGAGCTGACATTAATATCACATAGATCCTTCAGGTATGTCACGATTGTCGCCCGGGGTCTCCGATGATAATGTCGTATCGTCTGATAGGAGTTTGGTTAGCTGTCACCAGAGCTCAGCCGAGTGTCTCACAAGTGACTAGTGTATGTCATTCTGTTAACGTGCTTTTGCATGGGCCCACGTCTGTGAGTTGCTGGTGTTCGGCCTCGACTTCCATGGACGATCCCTAGTTATAAACCTTTGTAAATGTATGCTAGTGATCTCCAGGCCTGGCTGTATGCAGAATACAGTCTGATATTCCATCCTTCCACTATTTAACGGCAAATATCGGTTTGACATTTTAATCAGCAAGTGATTCCTTGGTAATTTTGTCATACATGACCATTTTAAGGCAATATTGTGCGCTATGTGCTGCCATTGTTATTACTAACATA